GTGCGGCTGCTGGTGGACAAGCTGGTGCGCCGGCGTGCGTGTGAACTAGCGAAGCAGCACGAGCAGCTCTGTGTCCGCGCGGGAACACACCAGCGATCATGCTGTTGGACACGGCGTCACGAACGGACATCGGCCAGAGCGTACCCCTGCGGACCAGCGCACATGGCGCACCACCATGCAGGAAGCCAGGAGACTCTGCTGTAGAGATGCTGCTTGGCTGGTGCGTCGCGTACGCGTAGCCGGCTCGTGCACGGCGTTGGTGTACGCGGATTGGTGAGCCAGCAGGCTAACGCAGGACGTGCAAGCAGCCATCCACATATGTGCGTTGGTGTATACCTGTGCACATAGCGTGGTGCCACAGTGCAATGCATGAAGCTGTGTGGTGCAACGAAGCTGGATGGAGGCGTGGTTGATGGAGGAGTCCCGATCAAATCAGGCAACAACGGCTGGTGGACGACGGGCATTTTCCTCGGACGCCGCGTGCCGAGCCAAACAGCCATATCGCCCGGTTGTTGCGGCCAGCGCTCCGTTGGTGCGGCCAGCGATGCCGAGCTGCGCTGCATCCTGGGGAGTTACGACCAACACGGGGGAGAGCATGACGGAGATGTTGATGCTGAGCTGCACTGTCCAGAGCCGTGGCTTTCTTTTGGCCTAAGCGAAGCAGCACGCTGGCGCACACACGGTATGGCGCACGTGCATGAGCAACGTGAGCACCGGCGGGAGTAGCCACCGCTGTTTGGTCGTGGACGGCGCATATAATGCGTGCTAGGTGTTTGATGAAATGCCTTAGTAAGCCATTGTGAGGAGGAAGAAGGAAGGAGAGAGATAGACTGCCACGTGGACAAAGACAGGTCAAAACCACATTGAGTTAGCAATGATACCGGGTTAGGCGAGACTAGGGACTAAACTTAACTGGTTTCAAAAGTTGAGGATGTAAGTTGTTCGATTTTAAAGTTGAGGGACTAAATTTAAACTTTACCAAAAGTTAAGGGACGAAAAGTATACTTTTCTCTAAAGCAAAATAACTAGGAGTTTTCGAGTCTCGCTGGTCAATCAGACTTAAAGTTTCTTACAAATTTCACTCAGCATTCCAAGGAAAATTTAACACCTAAGTTTTTCACTCGTTGCCTTTTCCTTTTTCCTTTTCGGCCTCGGCCTTCAGGGTGTCTGGCACTCTGACTGGATCAATGAAAGTATCCAAATCAATGAAATCGGGAATCTGGCTTGCAGCTTCGATAAAGGTCTCCAAGTGGTCTTCAAAGTTTTGGCCCTCTGTATTCCCAGATCCAACTGCTTGAAATTTCTTCTCATTGATCTTAGGAATGTGAGAGTGAGAGCAAGGGCAACATCAGGTCCATGATGTGCAACGCATTTCTTCCATTGTGTCACTCGGTCTCACACTTGCGCAAGTTGGGATAGGCAGGCTTCTAGTTCTCCATCAAGTTCTTCCCCAGGGCGCATGTCTGCATTGATTTCCTTCATGGATTCCTTCACTCCGGCTACATGGTCCCTTGCCGCTTCAGCATGCTCCTCTAGCCAGATGAAAAACTCTGCTGCCGAGTGGATGCCCATGGGGTCTCCTTGATGTCCATCCCGTATGCTTCAAGTTCTGGGTGAACCTTATGCGCCTCCTCACTTGGATCAGAACAAAATTCTGCACAAGTGAAGGTTAGTGACAATGAGTAAAAAGAGGTCAGTTTGAATGTCACTCGGCAGGAAGACAATCATTACTTCAAGTTTCTGCTCAATTTTCTGGTTAACGTCATCTAGCTTTTTTTTGGTAATGGAGGTATACCCCCGGCCTCTGCATCATAATGATGCATGCGGCCATTTTATTAAAAATGCAGGAAGTATCATCATAAAGGTCTTATAGCTCACAAACAGAGCAAAGTCATGGCACAAAGATCTGAAAAAAATAAAGGGCCTCAACCGATACGGTGATAATAAGGACAAGCTCTCTAGCCCTCTATCCTATTATGTGAACGTCATCCGAACCGGTTAAATATAGGCCGAGCCACCATCTCCCATTGGTTGCACCCAGTAAGCAAAGGCTCCCTGGAGTCTATAGGAGTGAGTAAAGACTACGTACGGATCCAAGATGTAACGTCATCTAGCTGGTTCACAAAGAAAGTTTAAGCTTCACCATTACGGTGACTGAGTTCACCAAGATCCTTCTCATACTGCATCTAATCTTCTCCATGATATCCGACAGTTGCAAATATTTTATGTGCCAGTCTGTGTATGACCATCAAACTGTTTTTGCAGCTCATCAACCACTTTTCGGAGATGGTCATTGAGTTATTTGACTTCTTGGAATTCATTCAAACTCGCATATGCTTTTCTAATCTTTTCTCGGGCTTCTTCCCAAGATTTGGCATGCTCAACATATTTTTCCTCCAAGGCTTTCTTCACAGATTCTAGAGAGATGCAGTTCCTTAGTCGTTTAGTTAAAAGAACGTTTCAGACATACATTTATTGGAATGAGTCTTGTTCGGGATCAGGCGAAAGGAAAATAACAAGTTCACTTAGATAATAAAGATTACCTCCCATGGCAGTTTCTTTTTTTCTAGCAGCTTGGTATTGCCCTTCTCGTTCTCGGGTTCCTGGCGCACCTCTTCCATCTCCCTTTGCAGCTCACATACTTGGATCCTAACTTGCAAGATTTCTATTCAAAGTCAACAACCATTTAAGTTATTCCTCTCGGGTGACATATAATCTGAGTGAAGCCATGGATCTAAAGCAATTAATCTAGATCTATGAAAGCCTTAGAGGACAGAAATTTGAAATTGTGTGTTCTCTTTGATACTTATTCAGAATTGACTGGAATTTGAACAATAGACTACTATGAATATACTTGATTTTCTGTAATGTTTTCAGATTTTTTTTTGGGCAGTACAAATTTTCGTCCAAAATTTAAACAAATCTGTACAGAAATTTGAAATCCCGTTTTCTCTTTGATCCTTGCTTAGAATTGGATTAAATTTGAACAGTGGACTTCTGTGAACGTACTCGATTTTCTGTAATTTTTTAAGATTTTTCTGGGCATGTTGATTTTTGAACAAAATTTGAATTTTTTGGGCATTCAAACAAGATTGCATGGGCTGCTAACATTTTGTTTTTTGTTTAGGGGTATTTTGGACCTTTCCACCCTCTTATTTCTATCATACCGTAAAGATATATCATCAAGTAAGTTTGGGGCATTTTATCTAGAGGCATAGCAAAGATGGGGCATTTTATCAATTGCAATATAAGATGGGGCATTTTGGCTGGGGCAGAGCAAAGGTAGGGCAAAATCTCAAGTAAAAATATAAACTCAATGGAATGGCACAAGAGCAAAAGCAGCCAGGTCAAGAAGGAAGCCCAACAAGAAAAGCCCATGATAATAGAGGCTAGACTGACTCACTCCCTCTCATAGTCCACCACGGATCCATGGACCAAAGGTTACCAATCCTACCCCTCCCAACTACCATCTCAATCTAGAAGAGGTTGCATCTTTTGTGGATGCTGACCGCTATGTTTGGCTTGGTGATTTACTGTATTTTGTTTGTATGCCTTGAAACATTTTGCATGAATAAACATACTTTGTTCCACTAAAACAAACCTACCATCCCAAGGGAAGCCTTGGTCATTTGTCAAGAACCCATGTCCCCTATAAAGGCCACAAGGGCCTGTAAC